CCCCACCCCATCCTTTCCAGCAGAAATTAACCAGAGTTATTAATGGAACATTGAGCCTGGCTTCTAGAGGAGGCCCCCTTTGCCCCTTCCCAGTGCCCTACTCACTCACACAGGGAGATCCTTATACAGGGACACTGCCCATGCAAATGTCGCCTCACCCCTGAGACCACCAGCCAAGGAGCATTATACATTTAAACCTTTGCACAGAAAAATTTGGGGGTTAAAAAAAAGCCATCATGCATGCCACCACCATCCTCAGTTTCTCAGATTATTGGTCTTTCTGTGTAAGATCAAAAACAAATGTTCGTTTTTTTCAGAGGGGGTTGGGTGATCCATAGAAAATTCCCATCTTAGAGTTTCTTCCTCAGAAACTTAAAAAGAAAGCCACTTCTTTGAAATAGCATATGGTGTGTGTGTGTGTTTTCCCTTCTGCCGGAAGGACATGATTTAGTTTGGATTTTTGTTTAACTTGAAAAAAGAGCCCACAATGAAAACAATGTGTGGAAAGATCTCCTTCAACATGTCACTGAAGGCAGCTCTTGTTCTTCATGTTCATCTTCATGTTCCATGGGTGCTGCCTATGGCCTCTGGACAGAGCGATTTCTCACAGGAGCCCACAGCAGAGTTTTCTCCTCTCTGGGCCTGGCCAAGGGGCCCCGAGCAAAGCACCCACCTCTGAATGTTTCCTTCAGGGGGTGTGTGGGGACACTCCTTGCTGGTCTGAAAGGTCTTGAGACCTCAGATGACCCAGGGTCAATCTTCATCCTCAGCTTACCTAGGGTGCAGAGTTGGTCCCAGAGACGGTTTGGGGGTGGTGTCCTACAAGTAGGCTTGGGTGACTGGACCTGCAGCTGGTGGGCTGAGCACATGTAGAAGGGCCACTGTGTCAGTGAGTTGTACAGATAGGGCCATAAAGACACAACAGTGTCTGCTCCCAGAGCCTCTTCTGTGGCCTGCTGAGGGATCCTGCCCGAAGCCTCAGTATGTCACTGGCTGGGATAAGCATATCTCTTTCTCTGGGGAGTGGGTGACCATTCACAAACAGCACGATAGTTCTGGTAGAAAGGAAATTAGAGCTCATCTAATCCTTTTTGTACAGATGGGTAATGTGAGACCCAGAAAGGGGATGTAATTTTTCCAAAGTCCCATGGCCACCTAGTGGCAGAGCCAATGTGGGATTCCTGGCCAGTGCAGACCCCTGCCCCACAACTCCTGGCCCTACTGGTGTGGCCTTTTGTAAAGTGTCACCAGAGCATTTGACTCCCTGCTCAGAACCCCTCCTCCCACCGGCTTCTTCCCTAATCGCCCAGAAAAAAAAAAATTCCGAAGTCCTTCGCACATCCTGACCAGTGTTACAGGACCTTCCCTTTTGTCTCTCCTGCCTCTATCCTTTCTTGGAGCCAAAGTCGCTGAGCTCTTCCTGACTCCAGGACTTTGCACATGCCCTTACTCCTGCCAGATGCACCCTCTCCTGCAGAGAGCCCACCCTACATTCCGGTCTCTCTGTCTCTTGCCCGGCCTGGTTTCCTTCTTAGCGCCATCACTCTCCGACATTAAGTTATAAATGTATTTGCTGGTTTGTTCACTGCTTATCTCCTCTTGGTTAAGGAAGCTCTTCAGTTCTATGAAGGTGGCAGCGCGGGCTGTCAATATACTGCTCCTAGGACCTAGAACAGCTACATAGCATGCCCTTGATACAAGGTGAATGAATGAAGGAAGGAAGGCACCAACAAACAAATGAATGACTATTCATTCCTACAGTGACTGCTGCTGCCCAGACTTAGCCCCAGTGATGTGAATGGACTGAATTGCCTCTTTGAGGGTGGCCGGAGGAGTCTGGAAATCACCTGCTAGCTGATCGCAGGCACGTCTGCTGCCATGTTGGATGCGTGTGCTGAGAGGCCCTGTTGCTGCGGGCCTGCTGTGTGCTGGATGCTGGGCTGGGCTTTGGGAAAACACATGGGGCTTCATGGCAGAGAGAGAATGAAGCCACAGACTGCCTGATCGTTGCTCTCCTAAAAGCAGATACACCACTCAGAGCCTCAATGTTCTTTCCCGGAAAATGGGGATAAGAACAGAGTTTATGGTAACCCTCAATGAGGTGCGATAAGCAAAGCCCCACGAGGCAGCAGACTTCTCTAAAGATAAGCACCCTGTACTTCCTGACCTGGGAGGGACTTGGCCACACTCAGGCCACTGGCCAACCTAACATCAGTGCCTGGACTGGAGAAAACTCTAATGTGTGTTCCAGGCTCCTCCTGAGGACTCCAACTGGGTGAGGGTGAGGGGTACAAGTGTGTGGCCAGAGCCTTTACTGCCTGCCCATTCCATGAGTATCAGCTGCTTAGAGGGCAGCAGGGGCTGTGGGAGGTCCTGACCTGCCGCTCTGACTTGAGGAAGAGAAAGCCACTTCTCCTGGTGTCCACGGCCTTCACCCCATGGACTGCACAGAAAAGAGGGAGCAGCCACCGCTACAGCAGGACCTTGTGGGTGGCTGTCCCTTATGCTTCTTCCAGAAGCCTCAGGCTCCTCCTCTCCCAACGCACACACACATGCACACACACGTGCACATGCGCACATGTGTGGGCAGCCAGGTCTTATGGGGCAGCTAGGTCAGCCTCGATGCCACCTTCATTTCATGTTTACCTGATAAGCTATCATGAGCACTTCATTCCTGTAGATGTTATAGCTCTCTAGACCTGGATAAAGTGGCATTGATCGTGCACAGAGCAATGTCTGTGCTCACAGCTGGTTAGGCAGGGGCCCAGTTGGTTGGGGTGGGGTCTGGGCTCTGATTGAACCCTGCAGGTTCAACACTGGAGAGAAAAGGAGCACATGGGGGATGACCAGTGGGAAGACCAGGAGTTCTGCGGTGAATGCAGCCTGGGGTTGCTGTGAAGACCTAGAAGTTGATATGCAAAGCACTTAGAGCAGGGCCTGGTACTGTGTGTGCATGTGGGACAAGAAGACTCGGGCATCCCGCTTGCACCCAAGGGTTGCCTCTCAGTGTTTATTCATGCTGGGCAGAGGGAAAAGCCATGACCAGCTGTCCTCTGAGATTCTCCTCCTGGCTCTGTCATTTTTTTTTGGCCCTGTGACTGAGCTGAAATCACCTGTGGCCTCCATTTCCTCATCTATGAAATGGGTGCAGTAACACCCACCCTGGCTACTTCAGGGGCTTTTAGATATTCAGGGAAACATTCAGAAATAAGCAAAAGCAAACCATGTTTATTTGTTAACAATATTGTAATCCTGTTTTCCTGGTCACACTAAAAAAACCGTAAAGGCCCTTTCCTGCACCTCCGGGGAGGTGAGCACTATTTCCCTGCTGATCTCCCCGCTCCCCAACCCCAAGAGTTCCGGACAGTCCAGTCTGTCTCCTGTGTGGAAGCTGGCCAGTGCTGGCCCTCCATTTCGGAGGCCAGTTCCCTTTAGGGCCCAAGGTATGTGGAGTCTGTGTTTGGCATATTGATTTAATCAGGGCGAGAAGATTTGCTTTCTTTGTTTCCAGCCCCCATGGAAGATGCCAGTATTGTGGAATTATGAAAATAAATTGAATGTGGAAAAATTAAGATTAAAATGTCAGGAGAAAAGTTTCCTGTTTTTAAGAATTCATAGCATTTAAACTAAGTGTTCACTAAAGGATGAATAGATAACCAAAATGTGGAATATCCAGAAGGCTTATTCAGCCCTAAAGGAAATTCAGACACAAGGTATAATGGACGAACCTTGAGGACATGATAATAAGTGAAATAAGCCAGTCACGAGAGAACAAATACTGTGTGGTTTCACTTTTGTGAGGCACATTCATAGATAGAAAGTAGAATGGTGGTTGCCGGGGTGGGGGTGGGGGGACGCGGGGCGGGCCGATGAGGAGTTTGTGTTTAATGGGGACAGAGTTTCAGTTTGGGAAGATGAAATAAGTACTGTGGATGGATGGTGGTGACAGCTGCACAATGATGTGAATGTACTTAACTACTGTACACTTAAAAATGGTTAAAATGGTAAATTTTCTGTTATGTATATTTTCCACACTAAAAAAGAAAAGAAAAGAATTCATAGTGTTTACAATAAGATACTGGAATCTGTTTGCACAGAAACAGCAGCATCATTTGTAGGCCTGGCAGGCAGCTGACTGTGCGCATGTAAAACAAACCATTCACATTTCTTTAAACTAGTCAGCAATTCACACTCACCACTGATTCCCATTGGCCCCGCGGCCTTTCTCCTGAGTGAGAGTCGACTGAGAAATCTCTACTTTTTAGCCTTTTTCCCAGTCTAACTACTTTTTAAAGAGCCTTGTTTTCCTAGAGCCTATAATTATGTTTGTCTCCAGGGTACCCAGGAGTTTTTTTTTTTTTTTTTTTTTCTTTTTAATAAGCAAAGAGCATCCTACAATTATCATGATGATTTGTTGAGGGCAGGCCAAGTGCAGACAGGGGCTGACTCACCTCTGGAAACCGATGCTCACGAGTTGATATTTGCATCTTGGAGGCATTGCCAGCACACTTCGGGTCAGTAATTATTATTAAGAGCAGGAGAATTAACAGACCCACAAAGGTGTCCGCTGGCTGCAGCCGGAACAGGCCCTGGCTTCACAGATGGTTCTAGGTAAATATTGCCAGCCCGTGTGGATGCCGTAACCCCGGGCTGCTGGAGCCACACGCAGCCGAGGCCGGGATGGGCAGAAGCCTGTCGGCTCTGTCAGCCCTGATTTGCGGCCGAGCCTGTAATCTCCCTGAGTTCAAAGAGCGCTTAGCTGCTTGTCTTTGTCAAGAGCGCGGTTGGGGATCTTTTATGTGAAAGATGTAGGGTTCTCAGGCTGACTTTGATTATTTATTCATCCCCCTTCGTGGGTGTGTGATAGCCAGGGCACCTCAGAGCCCCCTGTCCTGACTGCTCTTGCTCTGAAATTCATTGAGCTTTAAAGCCCTTTGAAAATTGCTTTTCGAGGGAGGGGAAAAGGTTCTGAAGTCCTTTTTCTCTTTCCCCCTGCACAGTGCCGCAGCACCTTTTGCCACCGTTCCATGCTCCCTTACCGATTGACATGAGACACCAGGAAGGAAGGTACCATTACGAGCCTCACTCTGTCCATGGCATGCACGGGTAAGTTCTGCTCTCCTCCCGTCTCCCCAGCATGTGAGTCACTTGCCACTGGGGAGGCTGGGCTGCCAGCCTCAGCCACCTCTCCTGCCTCTGTTTTTCTTTTTGGAGTTCCTGATCCGCATCGTCCTGAGCAGTCGCCTTTGCCACCCAAGAGTGCACTCATTCAGGACCCTGTGCGAATGTGTGGGTGGGATGTGCACACCTAGCTCCCCTCTGGTTATTTGAGAAGGAAGCACTGCTATCTCACACATCACCACTTCCAAGGCTTCAGACTCTCCCTGCGTACCCATAAGCACCTTGGGTCCTTTACCCACCCATACAGTGGGAACCCCTCCAAGGCCAGAGGTCCCATGCAAGTACGGTGACCTTCATTATATGTCGTCCCAGCATAATAATTCATAGTGCTCCTTGCACTCTCTCAACTGTCCCAATTTGGACACTAAATTACAGGGTCGACCTACCGATAAGGACGAGCTCGAGGTTATACTTTGGGGCCTCATCCTACTCCCTGCTTTGAGACCCCCACGTAGAAGGGTATGTCACCAGTGCTGTCTCACTAAACCTAACCCTGCTCCTCTTCATTCCTACCTGGGGCCTTGAAGCTCATAGCTGATGTCGCTTTTCTTTGTCTTTATGACTTGAAGACCTGTGCCCTTGTTCTCCCATTCATATGCTTCCGGAAGAGGCCCAAACCTTCCCCTCAACATCTCTGCTACTCCCCACACCTGCCTAGCAGGGGACCTACTATGAAGAGTCAGTTGGCCCTATGCCCGTCTTGACCCAGACGTGTCATCTGTCCAAGTTCTCGTTTGTGTTTCCAGCATACATGACCCTGTCACATGTCACTGTGCCTCAGCTCCTGCTGCCCAGCCCACCTAGAATGCCCCCTCCTCCTGGCCACCTCCTATAGATCCTCTAAGCCTCAGCTCAGGAGCCGCCACCTCCTGGAAGTGCTGAGATCCCCCACACTGAGTGGGACCTTTCCCGAATTCCCATCCCACCACCGCGCAGAAATGATGTTTTACACCTGTGTCCCAGCAGGCTCTGTACTGCCCTCTCGTTTCTGTATTGACAATGTCTGACATATAGTAAGTACACGATCTTGTTTGCTGAGTGCATAGCCCTCTTCACACATTCCACTCACTGAAGACAAATCCTCCTGCCTCTCCCAGCTCCCATTCAAATGAAGTCAGTAAATACTTGCTGGGCACTCACTGTGTTCAAGGCAAACACTGTGCCTGGTCAAGAGGCAGGTGATTGAGAAGGCGTCCGAGCCCTCAAGTGACTCCTATTTCTGGGCACCCATTGCCTCCCCATGGCAGAGCAAATCTAGGACTTTTATTTTCTTTTTAAAATATCTTTTACTTTGAAATAATTTCAGGCATATAAAAATAGTTGGGAAAATAGTACAAAGATTTCCATTATACCCTGCACCCAGTTCCTCAAATGTTAACATCTTAACGGAACCAAAACACTGATACATTGTTATTAACTAACTTATAAATCTTACCCAGATCTGGCCAGTTGCCTACTAATGTCTTTTTTCTCCCATTCAAGATCCAGCCTTTGCATTTAGTCGTCTTGTCACCTTAGTTATCTTTAATTGAGGACAGTTGCTCAGTCTCTCTTGTCTTTAGTGACCTTGACGCTTTTGAAGAGGACAGGCCAGTTACTGTATAAAATGTCCTCAATTTGGGTTTGCCTGATGATGCCTCATGATTAAGTTCGGAATTTATCTGAATTTATTACTTAGAGAATAGTAATAAAAGTGGTGTTGTGCCCTTCCTAGTACAGTGTGTCAGAGGCACATCATGGCACTACTTCTCATCACTGGAGATTAATTTTAATCACTTGATGCAGTGAGTTTCTCAGCTTTAAAGTTGGTCTCTTTGTAATTAACGATTGTGGGGTGATACTTTGGTAATATGTGAATATCTTGTTTCTCATCATATATTCATCCACTAATTTTAACATCCATCGTTGGCTCTTGTCAGAAACAGGAACTACTAGCATTTACCAAGTGGCGCTTTTCTTTTTCTATCGTTCCTTCCACACTTATCCGTTGGACTTTTACTATAAGGAAGAGCTGTCCCTTCCCCTCCATTTCTTCATTTCTTTATTTCAAATAAATGCATAGATATTTGTGTTATTCTAGGAGTTATACTCTCTGGTTATCACTGTTTGTTGTATTGTTCAAATTGTCCCAGATTTGGATATTTTCTCCCATGTCTTTTGACATGTTGGGAACCTTTCATTGTATTTTGGTTCATGTAGCTGGTTCCCACTTGACTAGGACCTGCTGCTGGTGGCCTCATGCCCACTTTAGCCCTCTGCCCACCTCCTGGGGCCCTCTAGCTGCAGGTGGCTGAGACCACAGCTCCAGTGGTTTCTGGGAGGTTGATACATTTAGAGCTAACAGATCACTGAAAATTGCTCAGTTGGTGGTATCTGAGAATCCTAAGCCTATTAATGGAGCTGAGTCCCTATCTAGAATGGGAGAGGGAAATGCTGATTTTCTCCTCTTGAGAAATGTTTGGCTGGTTCAGCAACACAGATCCTGGGCACAGCAGGCCTGCAGCAAAGTGCTCCCTGCAAGGGGCCCAATGCTGGTCGGAGACAGAGACGTAGGCAATGCTGAGAGCTCCCTGGAGGGAGAGCCTGTGCAGGTTTGTATCACTCTGCAGGTGATTATCTGGATTGTATCACTCTACAGGTGATTATCATATCTCCTCACATACCTAGGGGCAATGACAGAGATATAGGAAGACCCCACCATTGGTGAATGCTATTTTTCAAATTAACTCTGACCTTATGACTGTTGTGAACACTTTATGTGTTTCCTCTCACTTAATCTTTTCAACAACCCTATATGATGTGCATTTCATGTCATCCCATTTTACAGATGAAGGAGCCGAGGCAGCAGAGAGGTTAAATAACTAAGCATCAAGGTCATCCACTTAAGGATTAGGAGAATTAGAAGCCTGATTACAACTCCCTGAGCCCAGACCCTCAATCGCATGCTGGCCTGTCTCCTGGGAGCACTTTTATGACCGGAGAACCCTAAAGGGGTCCAGCCCATTCTTTCTTGAAAGCACATTCTGCCCTCTGTTAGGGCACGCACCCAGCTTACTTGTTCCCCAGGCCTCTGAACCAGCAATGTCAGTGTCCCTGGGGGGCCGTTAGGAATGCAGGTTTTCAGGCCTTGGCCCAGACCTGCTGAGTCAGACACTCTGGGGTAGGACCCATGATCCATATTTACTATGCCCTCCAGGTGATACTGCTACAAGCTCAGGTTTGAGCTGCTCTAGCTGCAGAAAGAGCTTGTTGCTGAATGAGGTGGCCCTTAGTGCTACCCCTCCCTGTGATAGTAGGGATCTGTGGCCAAGAAGCCACCCCTGAGTTCTCTCCAGGCTTTGCCACTCACTACTCTGTGTTGGACACAGGTCATGTCCCCTCTCTGGGTCTGCTTTCTTCCTGCCCAGCGAGGAATGGAGTGTGGCCAGAGCACTTGGAGAAGTAGAAGGTGACGGTGGCAGGTAGCAGGGGAGGTCTGACTAGGCCAGTGGGCCTGTGCAGATGGTCTTGTCACTCACTGGCCTGGATGGCTCTTTCACTAGACTCGATAACTGAAGGGAAGTGTATTAGTTTCCTCTTACTCCTATAACAAATTACCTCGAACTTAGTGGGTTAAAACAATATATATTTATTCTCATGCAGTTCTGGAGGCCAGGAGTCTGAAGTAGTTCTTATAGGTCTAAAATGAAGGTGTTGGCAGAGCTGGCTCCTTCTGGAGGCTCCAGGAGAGAATTCATTTCCTTGGCTCAGGACCCCTCCCCCACCTTTTTATCACATCGCCTTTTCTCCCCATGCTTTGTTCTCACGTGGCCTTCCTCCTCTTCTGTGGTAGTTTGCTCCCTCTGCCTCTCTTATAAGGACACCTATGATTGCTTTAAGGGACCACCAGATAATCCAGGATATTCTTCCTTTCTCAAGGTCCTTAACTCAACCACATCTACAATGTCACTTTTCCCGTAAAGGGTACGTACATTCACAAATCCCAGGGATTAGGACCTGGAACTTGCTGGGGGTTCTTATTTAGCCCATTTGGGATCACCAAGTCCCAGTGGCAAGTCTGGCATCACAAAGTAGAATATAATAAAGGGTGCCAGTAATTTGTACAGAGCCTGCAGCAGGCCAGGCTCTTCCACGGAGCCTGGTATTTCACCTCCCAATTGTCCTGTGAGATGGAGTTAAAATCTGCAACTTACAGATGCCGAGGCCCAGAGAAGTGCACTGACTTTCATGGGTCATCCCTGTATGTCGGGTGTGCTTGCTCCTGCACGAGGTTCCCCTCCCTAGCCAAGCTAGGGCTAGTCTGGTTAACACCCCAGTGACGGGCAGCAGCAGCGTTCCCAAAGCCCCACATCTTGTTGGGCTTGGGCTTCCAGTGGCTCTACCTTATCAGGACAGCTGGTCCCCACCCAGTCCACAAGAGGACAAGGCAAGTTCTGGAAAGCCCACTCCTTCACCCCTGCCCTCAGTGTCCAGGTGGGAGAAATAGTACAAAGCCAAGGAGAAAAACGGCCCCTATTTCTGTGGCTCCTGTGATTAATGTGGTCAGAGCCTGGTGGAGCACCCGCTCCGTCAAGCCCCTGCTACAGACCACTTCTCCTTGCCGCCACCAAATGTGTCTAATTACATAAGACGTTGCGTAGCAAATGAGGTGCGATGTCGTCTCCTGTCAGCCCTAGTCGGAGCCTCTGCCTGCTGCTTCATGCACAGGGCCTCTGCTCAGGCGCCTGGGACCCTGACCCAGTGGCTCTCATGGTCTGGTGATTGAGCTTCAGTGCTCGGGGCTCTGGGTGGAGTGCTCCGCCACGGGCCTCCTCAGCCCTGTCCTGGCCCGCAGGAGCATGGCTGTCATGGGCCCTGCCAGGCTACCTGGGCTTGAACCCCAGTGCTGAAATCACTAGCCTTGGAGGACTGACCAACCTGAAGGAATAAACCTCAGTTTTCTCATATGTAAAAGGGCACGATAAGGTTACCTGCCCCATCTACTAAGTTACTTTGAGAATGGAGTTGGGTAATATAAGTAAAGCTCTTAGAAGAGTTTGGAAACATTCAATTGATGTTAACAATGATTATTATTACTGTTGTTATTCCACTTGCCTTGAAGGCCAAGGGATCTTCGTGACAGAGGCAGGCCATAGCATGTCCTTGGAAGAGGCTACTGTTGGGTGACTGTGACAGAAGAAGGTGGGAAATGGGGCTGAAGAAGTACTCCTGGGGATGGAAAAGAGAGTCTTTTTTTCCCCAGTTGAGGAATTTGGACTTTATCCTTTTGGCAACCAGGAGCAGAGGGAGCAGTGAGATTTATTTTCAGGGTAACTGGAGGAGCAGTTAAAGATGGACAGAAGGCGGGACATTAGCTGTCATCATGGTCCTCGGCAGGAGGGGAGCAGGGCCAGGGCTGACTTCACACTGCTCCAAATAGGCAGCTACACATGGGAGGAGCAGGGGTGGAGCTCAGTGCGTGGACACCCAGCCAGCACAGCACAGCTGGACGGCTTCCCCGTCTCCAGAGCCACCCATTCTAGTCACCTGGAGGTACAAACCACAACAGGACCTGCAGAGCTCGCTAGTGCTCAGATGGCTCCGGAAGGATAAATGGCTCTGCTCGTGGACTCCTGGCACAGCATGTTTCATCTCTGTAAACCATAGGTGATGGGGAGACAAGTAGGTGAGGGGGTTGTTTGTGCTGCTCAGGCAGAGTTCTCTTTTGACCCCCTCTCCCCAGGGGACATGCTCTTGAGGTTCTGGGAATTCTTTCTTGAGGGCGAGAAGAGAAGGCCCTGTAGTCTCTCTCCCTTGCCTGGTGACTGCCAGCAGGAAAGAGGAGCACTTCGGACATGCTCCTCGCCCCTGTCCCCTTGGAAACTAGCTCGCTGGGTGTTGTGGGGACTAAGGCTGAAACATGGCAAGGCCCCCAGCTGGAGCTCCCCGGTTCCTCTGTGTGAGCAGTCTAACAAGCAGGAGCATGGGCTGCCTGGGGCCAGGATGAATGCATGTGTTTTGGTGGGCAAGGTAGAAACTCGGGTTCCTGGTTCAGGAGGCTGGGACTGACCTTCAACTCACCATTTTCTTGTGGGCTCCTTCCCACCCCAGCCCTGTCCTGGGGCTTCAGAGAGGACCAATTCCAGCTGCTTCCAGCCTAGAGGGTTACAGAGACCACCTTGTGCAGCACTTCTCAAACCTTGCTGCAAAACTGAACTGGGGTGTGTCTTAAAGATGCACGTTCCTAGGCCCCGACTCCAGAAGTTCCAGTTCTTTCAGACTAGGGTGAGGTCTTAAAATCTGCTTGTTTACAAGCACCCACAGGCCCAGAGTCTGGGGACCACCACAGGCCACCTTGCTTATTTTATGCTCAAAAAAGCAAGCCCAGAGATGTGTGTTGGCTTTCCAGAGTCATGGGACCAACAGGCTGAAGGGCCTTTTCCCTCAATGATGACGACTCCGAGATACGGGGTGTTAAAACCCCCCGGCTCCTTTTCATCACCTATTCACAGATCCAGTGCCCACAAATTAATCTAAATCTATTCATATTCTCAGCTGGCAGAAGGAAGTGAGCATATTGGGTGGGGGCTAGAGGGTGAGCGGACAGCTACAACATCTCAACCATGGAAAGCCTCCTCTTGCCAGGTTCTCTATACCTGGCCACTGACGTCCCTGACCCTCAGCTGCACTGCTCCAGTGGTCACGGCCAAGGTCCTCCTGCACAGAGAAGGAGAGAGGAGGGAGGCTCTTGTTAGGGACAGATGGCTCTGGGGCTAAGCTATCAATTCCTGTAAAGTCAACATGCTGGCCCAGGTACTTTAAGGAAAGAGAGGGAATGCCAGCTGGTGGGTGTGAGGGCCCCCGCCTCCTACCATTATCTGCACACTTTGTCAGAGTACCCTGAGAGAGCCGTTAAGGATGTCTGAGCGCCACCTCGTCCTGGCGACTGCATGTTAATGGAGATGTTTAGCCCCTCCGCTGGTATGCTTCACTTAAGAAAGTAGTTTCTTTGCTGTTGCTGGCTGAGCTCATGAACTTCTAGTCCGGGGGGATTTGAAGATGAATTTTTCCAAGGTCAGCGTTCCATAAAGCCTGCACTAGTTCATTGTGAGATTAATAAACACACACCTCCAACTCACCTGCACTGTCCTGGGCTCTGACAGCTTTGCCCTCAGCCAGTCACCAAGGCAAAGCAGACAGATACGTGGATATTTTCTTCTTGGTTCTTGGTATAACACATCAGGTTCACGGTTCATAGAGGACTGACTCCGTTTGTGTTTCACAAAGAACTTTCTCCTCCCTGGGCAAACATGCGTGCTTCTTTTCAGGAACTCGTGGAAAGACGAGACTTCCGAAAGACAGGTCTACTTGTCTGGCCCCTGAGCCAAGAGGCTGGGTGGGCCTGGGGTCTCCCACCAAGTGCCTTGTCCCTCCTCCCCACTTGTGTCCTTGCTCCCTTTCTTTTTCCAGGGAGTGCTCCTTAAAACCTGCCATGGCTGACCACTTCTTTAGAGCAATTGGATGGCAGGTAGACATGGAGCCCAGAAAACTCTGGCACCAGGAGTTTGTAGTGTAGCACACCAACCTCTCATAGCTATCTGAGGACTGAATGACAAATAGATGTGAAGCCTTGGCTCGTGTGATGCCGTGGCCCTTAGAGACCCCTTCAGACTAGTCTTTTCTCCTCTCTGGGCAGTCACAGCATCTTGGGTTCAGCCCTCTGGATTATGTTACCTAATCTTCGTCAACACCCTATAAGGAAAGCAGCATCGTTACTCCCACTTGTTAAGTGGGGAAATCGAGTCACGATGAGGTTGGCTGCTTGCTCCAGTGACATTCTCCAACTAAGCAGCACAGATGGGATTTGAACCTGGGCATTTTGACCCCAGAGGCCCACTCTCCGCTCCGACTGCTCTGCTAAAGATTCTCTCAATGCGGAGAGCCTCAGATTCTCAGCTCCAGGAAGGTGTTCTGCAGCGTGGCACAGACAGCTCATTTATAATGGAGTCTGGCCTGTAAAAGTTTAATGAAAAGCATGTCTGATAAGGCAGCCTGCTCTTTGATCTTGGCTGAATGCTGGCCCCTCGCAGAAGAGGAGCTGCCTGGCTCTGGGCTTAAGAGAGAGCCCGTGTGGTCAGCCGAGGGCAGGAAGGGCCCAGGAGTGAAGCATATCATGATGTGCAGAGATGAGGCGGGTCTGCCATAGGGAGAGCATGCAGGGCTGCCTGGTGGAAAGGTCCCTCAGGGCTGGAGGTGATCCCCTGGGTCCTCTCCTGTCCTCCATCATCTTGGGCATTTCCCATCGCACACCCGCTGGATGCAGGCAGAACAGGATGGGGCAGAGTTTAAGTCCTGCCTCTGTCACTCATGCCCTCTCCATTCTCTGTGAGCCTCGGTTTATTTGTCTCTAAAATGGGGATGCAACAGTACCCCCCACATGGGTGGTTGTGAGGATTAGACGAGTAAGTAAAGCGCATAGAACAGCTTCTGGAACATACTGAGTGCTGGACAATCATGTGCTTTTCTCACTCTCAGGTGGACACTAAAAGGAAACCCACATTTTGTTCCAGGCACTCTTGGATTCAGGGTGGATGGTATCATGTCCAGTGTTCCCAACACCCTGTGAGGTGGCTCATATTCTCCACAAGTCATAAAAAGAAAACTGGAGGTTACCAGAATTTGAGAGCTTTCCACAATCACTCAGCTAGCTAGTACGTGAGCTTGGACCCCTACGCTTGAGTTCTTCTCTATGCCATGATTATCCGTGGAGAGGAAGGGGCATCTCGCCGCAGGTCTTGGGGCTACAGTGTCTAATCTTGACTGACAAGCATAGGAACAGCACAATAATTAACCCAAATGAATTAATCACTAATAATAAAATTTCAGTTGTGGTGGGGTAGGTTGCCCTTCAGGGTGGGTCGACCTCTCCCACTGCACATGTTCAGGTTGTCCATTCTAAGTGGAAGCTGATGCCAGGGCCAAACGCATTTATTTACTCAGCCTGAGTCACTGTTGCTGTTTATCTACAGCCCAGGTGCTATCCTCTGGGTCACTCCTGCCGGCCTGCATCAACATTTGTTGGGGAATGCAGGAGCAATGCCCTGCATGAGTCCTGTCGCTGTCCAAGCCTCCATCACTGCAGCCATCTTGCTGCATTGATAACGTGTCCCGGTGCCCATGGAGAAGAAATATGTTGGGCACAGTGGGAGCCACTCCTTCACCCTCTCCTTCCAGGAGCTGCATTTCTGAAATGTGAACTTGACCTGTCCCGCCTAAGCAAAGTAGAGAAAGATTAGTTGTTGCTTAACTCATGGGGGAAGGTTTATTTGATGAGACTCACCCAGTGCCTATGTGTGCCAACCTTGTGCCAGGTTGTTGTGGATATAGGCCCAAGGGGGTACAGTCTTGCTGTCCAAGTAGATCTTATGGTCTATGAGGGGCAGGGGGAGAAACTGGGCAGTTACAGGGTGGTACGCTGGAAGAGGTTTGCAGGAGAGCCCCGAGCACTAGGTAACCAAAGAATGGAAAAGCATTTATTAGCAGAAAGGCCCAGCAGGCCTGCCTCTCCCCATCCCACCCCCAGCCCACCAGGGGGCTTCACCACCTTCGTGGGGTTGCCCCTGTTCCAGTGAGGCATTTCGCTCCCAGGCAGCCACCAATGCCAACATGAAAGAGGGGCCCTCTTCACACACAGTAATGGACTCAAAAGCTTGGTAAAAACCGGCAGCACACCCAGCCCCAAGAAGACGTTTATCTAAACTATTCAGGATTATCCATCTAGTTTTGACAGGCATCCAGGAAAGGAAATTCCACATACCACTTTGGCAGGCTGGCCGGAGGAGCTGAGGAATTCTCCCCGGCGGGGAGAGCGGGGCAAGTTCCCTGTGCATAGCCCCCACCCCAGGCCTTTCCTCGGTGCTTAAACCCAGACCCCTAGTGAAATCTAATGAAACCCTTCCTTCTATTAAAGATGCCCCCGACCCCCAAGACCCCATGTCTCATTCCCGCCCAGGTCTCTACTTCCAGGGCCCTCACATTTACCCTGTGATATGACAGCCCTCATAAAGCCATAACTTACTGGAAGATTCTGCTCAGCTGTGCTCAGCCAGGGGCGGCTCCTCTTGCAGACAAAGGCTCCTCCTACCCTGAGGTCAACCCATACCACAGGTCACCTGGAGAGGGCTAATCCATGCGGGCTCCCCCATAACCCTCCCCCGGGGCCAGCTGTGTTTTTGCCTGCCTGCCCCACCCCCGCCACCCCCACCCTGGACACATGGCTCAAATCCAAGGCCTCTCACCCAGCCCAGCTCTGTACCAGCCATCGTTCTCTAGGAAAAAAGTCTCCTTGATCCTTCCCTTTTATTTTTTATGCTTTTGGGTTTTTATGTTTGAAAAGCTGATACCTTCCTATCTTCTTGCTCCAAAGGGAAAAAAATGTGATAAAGGGTGGGCAATTGAATTAACCCCCGTTGCCTGTGTGGCTAGAGCTTAACCAAGTCCATCTGTATGGCCTCCTTTGTAGGCGCAATTTTATAACCTAATTTCCCTACGAAAACATCAGTGTTTACTTAGTAAGAAATCTGCTCTTTGTCAGCTGAAAACAGTGATTTCTTTATTACTGCTCTGCGTAGGGAGTGACAGCTGAAAGCTGGCGCTCAGCTAGGTCTGGCGGAGTGTGCAGGTCTGTAATGGAACGGGGTAAGCGGAGGGGCGAATGGATTGCGTGTGTACACCGATGTGTGTCAGTTGCAGAGCAGGCCTGACGGATGGGCTGGGGCCGGTCAGGAGGGAGTCTTGGCAACGGACAGATGGAGTGGCCAAGATGAGCTCACTGAGTGACCAGGGAGACAACCACTGAACCTCACTTGCTTTCCAGCAACCCACACAAGTCCTGCACTCCCAGCCCTGTGGCCACTCCACTCTCCACACCAGAATCCCATCCACTCAGCCAACTGCTAAGCAGAGGCCAGCTTTCACCCAGCCATGCCTTTTTAAAAACTTAGTCTTATAAAATATCAAAGACATACGAAGAATAGCAAACGCACAGTTAAGATGTGAAGACATATACCCGGATGCCCTACCCAGCCCGAGGATTGGGGATGTGGCAGCACCTTCGAGGTTCCATGTGCCCCTCCGCTATCCTCCTGGGCCCCGCTATCCCACGTATTCTGGAGTTTGGAGTTTCTCATCCCCTGGCATCTGTAACATCTACCTTGCAGGTGACTCCTCCAACAGTACATTGTTCGGTTTTGCTTTGTATGCTTTATATAAACGGAATTGTCGCAGACGTATTCTTTGGGACCTGCTTTTCGCACCGGGAGTTATGTTCCAGAGATTCGCCCATTAATGCGTGGGGCCCTTCGTTTATTAATTCTCACTGCTCTGTGTTGACAGGCATCTGGGATGCATCTGTCTTTGCTGTTTTAAACATTATTGCAGCGAATGCTCCCGTATCGTCCTCCAGGCCCCGGGCACAGCCCGTTCTTCCCAATGAATGTTTGCCTGGGAATGAGATTGCTGAGTCACAGGCTGTTCATGTTTTACCCCTCCTACGTGTTGCTGGACTTTTGCCAGGTGGTTTCGCTGCCCTCACTCACACCAGCCTGGGTTGAGGACTCAGCTTGCTCCACCTCCTTGTTCCTAGGGTGATATCATCAACATTTAAATTTTTGCCAAAATGGTATCCCCCGGTGATTCTAATTTTCTGTTTCCCTGATTAACCCTAATGAAGCTGAGCATCCTTTCATATGTTTATTGGCCAATAATGTTTCATTCTTGTGAAATACCTGTTCAGGGATTTTGCCCATTTTTCTATGGAATTGTCATTTTCCTATAGATTTGAACAAGCATTTTATATAGAAAGGCTACTCATGCCATGGTTAGTTATATGTGTTGTCGGTAGCCTCTCCCAGTCTGTGCTTGGTTTCTTCATTCCCTGGGTGAAGGAAAGTCCTTGTAATGTAGCTCAGGTTTTTTACATCTCCTGTATGGTTTTCGCCACATGTTATCTTCCCCCGCAGCTATCTGGTCAGAGCTGCAGCCCATGGATTCTGTTAGCTGTTCCCCATTAGGACCTGCCCTTTGTTCAGCTATTCTGTCTTAGAACACCAGGCCTGCACCTCTCACTGCCTTTTTTTCATTTCCCTATAACAGTCTAGGCCCAAGTCAGATGCCACCCCCTTCAGGAAGCCTTCTCGGATAGCCCCGGCAGAGTGGATGAATTCTTTCCCTCCCACCCTTCTTTCTGCTTTAGCACCTTGTGTTCTCTTTACAGGCTGTAGTCAGTGTTCACAGTCCCTCCATGACCCTGCAGGTCCCAGCATGGTGACTTTGTCAAGGCACCATGTGAACCATGAACTGGGTGGGTTGTAATTTTCTGAGCACATGGCTGGATCTGGGGCACTCTGCTTGGCAGCCTCACCCTGACAGCTTGTCATTGCCACAGCCTCACGGACACTCATGTGCTCTGCTGACGTCTGTGCACGTGTAGCTTCAGGGTGGACCCTGGAAATGTTGGGGTTCATCATACCTGGTGCAGCAATTGACAGTCGGGTTTGTGACCACCTACCCCACTTCTTGAGTGTGGGGTCCTGGCTGAGTCTTCCTCAGACCCCCAGCGCACCACCCAGTGCCATCAGAAGCCCATGCTCAGTGAACATCGGCTGATGGAGGGAATGATGCATGAACACATGAACAAATCAGTGAATGTCTAGACACGGTGGCCCTGGCTCCTATTCATGGTTGTCCTATTTGCTGGTTTATAGAGCCTGCTCCAGTTTGGGCGGGGGCAGTTCTCCGGTGCTTTCCAAAAGAATTCCCTGTACATCTCTTTACAGGGGCAACCCCCTTGAGTGTATTTTGAAAAGGACATGATTTCTAGAACTTTTCAAATTAACATATGGAAAATGTGGGAGCAAGCTTGCCAATGTATAGTTTCACATACCAAAAACAAATCCCCCAAAAGACAGAAAAGCAAAATAACAAAACTAAACTAAACCAAAACCTTTGGAGAGGAGATTGAACTCCACCCAGAGGAGCCTGATAGAGCTCCGTCTAGGCCTGAGGCATTGAACCCTAGTCTGCCCTGGTGGAAGCAGACATGTGCCTGCCCAGTGCTGGCAGTAGGAATCCCAGTTTTGGTGGGAGAGTAGCTCAGAGTGGCAAGACCAGCTTTAGGGAATTCATTTTTCTTCTAGCATCTCAGTGGGCCTGGGGCCACTTGCCCAGTATTTCTGAGAAAGTGGGCACCTGGCCCCGAACAGCTCAGCAATAGCAGAGAGGTCATGGCCATCCCACTCAGAGCCCGCCAACCCCACCCATGGCCCTGTGATCCTGGTGGGTGGTAGCATCTCAGCCCGAAGGCAGGACGGGTGCGTGTGAGGAAGCCATCCTTGGGGTAGGGGGGTTGGCGTGTTGGGGCTGTGTTTGGGGCGCATTCAGCTATGAGGAGTCAGTGACCGTGTAATCTGGGCGGCAGGCAGGAAGGCACGCTCCAGAGCCCTGTGCACACGAGGTGGGTGGAGCAGAGTGCTCAGATGCCCTCCCAGCGTGGAAGGGCGTTTCCCTTCCCTGCCAGCCTGCCACTGATGGAGCATCCATGGGGGCTGGGCTGTCCCAAGAACTAGACAGGCCCTGCTCTCTAAGAGCTGGCAGTGTCAGAAGATTGGTGACAGTAATAACGATGGCGATGCCCAAGCCTCCTGGGGGCCTTCTCTACACCAGCAGCACGTGCTTACGTACTATAGTATCTCCTAACAAGTTACTGCAAACTTGGTGGCTTAAAACAACAGAAAATTATTCCCTCATAGTTCTGTTGGTTAGGAGTATAAAATCAGTATTGCCGGGCCCCAGTGGGAAACAAAGG